TTCTAACTCTACCTGGAAAGCCTGTAGCCACACAGAACAAGCCTGTAGTACTCTGCTTCACATCTGCTTCATGCTGCCTGACAAATTATGGGAGCCCTTTCAAACCTGCCCTAAGGCCTATTCCTTACAATTGCACTGACAAACATCTAACTGAAAATGTAAATAAAAAATATTTTAATATTCCCTCACAATAGAAGACGCTTAAATTGGACAAGCAATGGAGGCAGCTTGGCCTAACTTGAACACCACAGAAAACATAGCTTCATTTGGAGCTTTGTAGGTGACATGGTTCAATATTCACTTTACTGTAATTAACACCACAACCGTTCTTACTTTATAAATCATGTTTCTCAGAGCCTTAAAACTGAACCAAGTAAACTGAGATGGTTTTGAGAAAGAATTGGTGAATTGAACAATCTAGAACATTTAAAAATAAGTCATTATGATCTTTATGTTTACTGATTGAGGATCCATTTTACTGCCATTTAAAATTTATGATTTCATAAAAGCACTGGCATTTCAAGAATTGTTTTTCTCTAACATTTTAAGCAATTTTGTTATTTCAGTATTAGGGAAAATAGAAATATACTTAATATTTTGGTCCAAAACATATGGTCACCTTCTTTTTTTTTTCCTCTGCAAAGTGTATTTCCTAACACAGACAGCAAATCCTGCCATGGAGATACAGCCTTGGACTGTCTGCTACCCTGATCTCCAGGACTGGCAACAAGTGTGCAAATGGTGACACTGTCTTTGCAGTTTCAGAAGCCTGGTATTCACAGCAAGAGTAAAGAAAGGTCCCTTAGATAACTTGGAAAAAATCTTGGAGCTTCAAATAATTTTGAATAGCACAATAAGTAAGAATTTTTCATCCTATGCACAGAAAAAGGCAGAGGCCATCTGGTAAATTAGTATTCAGTTATGTCACCAAGGACAGTTTTAACATGTATGAAGACCTGCACAAAATCCAATCTGCAAAATATGTCTAATTCTGGCACAACCTAAGTTTCGAGTAAACAGATTTATAATCTCAGTTATGTCCATTTAACATTGTTGTCATGCATTGTTTCCTGACCTTTTAAAGAATGAACTGGTCTGTCACACCATTGGCTCTGCACCATAGTCCTGCGCTTCTCACCTCACCAAACCCCCTCCCAGCACTTCAGGTCAATGCTGCCAGGCCTACGTTCCTTGCTCAGGGAGTCCCAGTCCCTCTTTGCCAAAGCTCCCAAGCCCAGCTCAGCCCTCCTCTCTATGAATACCCTTTTCCCAGCCACTCACCATCTTTCCCAAACTGCCGCTTCTGCTTCTCAGCCAATTTCAGAATCCTCTAACCTACTGCTCAGGAAGCTCCAGTTCTCACCTCCCCAGTTATCAGATCTGTTTCCTTCACTTTATCTGTTCTGCCCAAACTACAGGTCACAGGTTTAGCCTACTTGATCTACCAGCTTTCCTCTCCCCTCTTCTTCTTCAGCCTCAGTTTCCATCTCAATCCACTGGTTTCCAACCACTCAATGGCATTTTGTTTTGCAGTTCCTACACTTCTTCCCCTTGTCTGCTCATCCTCCTGAAGCCTCCTGATTCCCAGTCCAATATGCCAGTCCTCAGCCTAGTTTATGACCCAAATTGCCTGGTCCAAATATAGTTGCATTACAAAAACTATGCAGTATCTTAAGAATCTAGCTCTTCTCTTCTGCAGTTGAATCTCCATCTACAATGCTTCTTCACCATGCCTGTGTTTCTCATGGCTGTCTACTGGATGCCTGAGTGTTGTCTGGCTGTTCATCAGCTTTCTCTGCTCACAGTTTCCCTTATCCCCCATAGAGAGGAGGCAGGAGCACCTCAAGGTAATGGTTTCTCTGGCCATTACCAGAAAAATGCGGAAAAATAATTTTGCCTTGTCCCCTCCCTGAAAACAATCAGATTACATTTTTAAAAATTAAGGAAAAAATTACCTTAAAGCAGACAGCTACTGAAATGAGATCAGACCCAAATACTTAAAGTCACAGGCATTCAGTAATAATGGACACTCTTCCCAGAGTTCTTAATCCAGCAGCTGGTCCATGTCTCTGTTGGACTTGTAAAATGAAATGGCTATCTTCATTTTGTATGCATATATATGTTCCAACCATATATATGTAACAATCCTTTTCATTTTGGAGATAAGGCAAACTTTCAGCCCTTTTAGGAACATATGACTACAATTTTTCATACATTTTCAGATAATCCATGATTTTCAGACTAGTTTCTTAAAACCAATGTCAGGGCCTTGTAAAATCTCAGATGTAATTCAGCGAACAGCTGTTCCTGCAGCTCAGGCCCAGGCTGCTCTTCACAGATGAGCAGTTGTTAGTATTTATTTGCAGAATCTGTGAAAAGATATGTGTACTCCATAGAGAAAGAGATGGAGAACAAATTATTCTCCTCTTTTGGAGAACTCATTATTACTGCATCCAAATTCTCACTCTAATATTGTCACCTTTCATCACTCCAAGGCCAAATGTTTTATATTTAGCATTATATCTTTGGTCAAACAGATTTTGGATGTGGCTGAAGGACAGCTGAGAAATCCTCAGGTCTGGGGAGCTTTTGAAGGGCAGGAAGTGAGTAATTTGGGGGGAGTAGAAACCCATTTTTGTAGGAGGTGTTTAAAATAATTAATTGTATTTTATCAGTCAAGGAAATAATGTATTGCAATATAAGGAAGACTGATGGGAGTTTATGTGCTGGATTCCTTTTGGTGGTATTCATGAAGAAATCACTTGCTTATAGGGACTCTAAGTGCAGGCTTGTTTACATGGTAAAACAGATTCATGAAAATAAAAAGAATGAGGCAGGACTTTGTGGGTCTACCTATAGTAGCTGTGAAGGCTGGATCCAGGTGGTGAGACGCCCTCTTCCTCTTCACCCTAGCAGATCTCTTGTCTCCTCCCCCATGCCTAGCAGAAGCCAAATCTTCCCAAACCCACTCAGACAAATACTTTTCTGGAGCTTCCGCTCCAGGGGTTAAAGAGTGGGGGAGAAGTATGAATGGGGCTGAGGATATCACCTGATAACATGACCAGGGCTGCTGAGGCTGGCACCAGCTGGCTCTGGCTCCAGGTGCAGGTGTTACTGCTGGGATGGCTGCCTGTTCCATGCGTGGTCACTGCCTCCCAGCCCATCAGCAGGGGCAGAAACAGGACCCTCCGGCTCAGGCTGGAAGCAGGCACAGTCAGAAACAATCAGACCTCTTCCCCCAGTTCAAGCAGTTGCTCTCTTCCTCTGTGAAAAACCAAGTCTGTTCTCCACATTGGTTCCAGCCACAGGCCACCACTGGGCCATGCTGACACAGCTACACTCTATACGTCATCAAAACTGCTTACCGTAATTGTCAAGATTAACAAAACATAAAACAGAGCATTTTTTTCCTGTAAAATTTTGCAAGCTTTTTTCATTAATTTATAAAATACATGCTCAATTTAGCTTCATTCACTACCTCAAAAATCAGCACAGACATGACATTATCATTATTATTAACTATAATTATCAATTATATTGATATATCAATTATCAATAATAATGTTTCCTTTGACAGTTAAAATACAGAATTATTTAAGTAAAAGCTATAATTTATGTCAGATTATGATGATGACAGAGAATCTAACATTGTTTGTATGGGATGTTTTAAACATATGTTTTGTATGTTATGTGTACAAAAAATATATTGTTTGTATACTATTCTGTATACTATGTTTCCTATGCTGAATTTCATTAAATAAACACTTTGCTACTACTTCCCGTATATTGATTTGGTCTATTTTCCTCGAGGTTGCTATTAAGAACAAAATTGTGAACACCCTGAAGTTGACAGGAGTTTTTCTATTCATCAGGAAGACTAAGGGAGTCAAGGTTTCATCACAGTTTTCTCATGTAAGTGCATGTAACTATCTGCTTTGACCTGGGTGAAATTTCCTTCCATTCTACACTATCTTGCTCCTTATTTATCAGACCATGAAAATTCAGAGTTATTTCACTAACCCTAATTAACTACTTGCTTCAGAACCAATTTGATAACAGTATTAATAAAAATATAGTAGCAAATTTTCTAATCCCAATCCACAACAGCAGATGACCATTCATGAGAATTAGTAAAGGTGCACTAGCATAAGAATAATAACTGAAAACAGGTTATAACTATTGTACTTCAGACCAACAACATACATGAAGGTAAGCAAACTAATATTATTAATTTGATTTAGTTTAAACTGACGGTCCCCAATGCTTTCATATTTAAGTCATACATTACCTTTGGATAGGTTGGGAATCATTTCAGTTAATCTTAGCTTTTATTTCTGACAGTGGAGTAACTAACTCCAACATCATGAATCCTAAAAAGCACTAAAACCGAAAAGCATCATAATCCCACAGCAAAAAGAAACCTCCATTGGTATAAACCGCATCAGTCATTTTAAATTTGTTTAAAAACTGGAATGGGTTAACTTTACACACACAGGTTTTTTTGCAGATCAGATGCTCTTTAACCTGCAGCCATCAGCATGAAACTGGCATAAGCTCTGTATCATGTGCTCTTGTTAATTCGACAGAAATGCGGTCATGTGCCCACGCTTGATCCAGATCAAATATGCACTCATTGTCATCCAGGAGTACGCAAATCTGGTATTAATGGACATGAAACCATGGCCTTATATGACAGCCCAGCTTTAGATACTTTGCAGATTTAATTAACAGGTTTTTCAATAGGCATGTTTTTTCCTTTAACATGTCCAAATACTTCTAGTAGCTGTGATGTTTTTTTCCATGTAAATCATTACACTTAGATTTAAGTAAATGAAACACAAAATCAGAAAAAAACAACTCCCATCACAACAAACTTCAGTCACCTGTGAAGGGCTGTAGATATATGGTTGCAATAAATTCTGATAGGTAAAATAAACATACAACGGAATGGAAACTAAACCACATCTATATATTGAAAGTCAAAAAATTAGAAATCTTACCTTTTTCACTAACACTTTCACTTTCAATCTCTACATCATCACAACTCGTATACTCTGGAGTGGACGCCAATTCTTCTTCTGAGCTACTTAGTGAAACCTGGCGCATTTTACCTCCCTTTTTCGTTTTATGGGGCTTTGGTGGTGGAGGTCTGACAGATTCAGACTGGTCTGAGCTGAGTGAATCATTCCGTAACATGGTCTCCATCTTTTCACGCTTTGTTTTCCGTACGGCAGAATTGGGATCCAAATGGTGTTGTTTCCTTAATGAATCAGAGCGCCTCATGTCTGGTCTTTCCAGAGGAATTGGACTCCTCCTAGGTGTAGGAGGGCTATGATTTGTGGTCCTCTGACGACTGGGACTTGGTCCCTGAGCCTCTCGAGTTCTTTCCATAGAGTATGAACGTTGATTTTCCATGGCAGCCCTGCGCTCAGACACTGATCTTTGTCTTGATGGTCGTTCCATCCTCAGCATAGACATCCGAGAATCTTCCAACTCTGTATTTGCCAATGAGACATCACTATGTCTCCGTTCATGACGTGCTCGGGACACTTCAGCGTGGATACGCATTTGTTCCTCATACGGTTGTGGCTTGACTGGATAACGAGCCAAATTAGGATCACTTCGGTATCGTGCCTGGTATTCCTCTTCCCTCCGCTGCCTTTCATATTCTTCCCTGTTTTGTGCATCTTCCTCTTCTACCGGATACTCCTTGGAACGCCTGCGACTCCTTCTGTTGGAATCTCTATAATCACCCAGTTCAGGTTCTTCATATAACTGAGGCCCACGCTGCGACCGCCTATCTGAATAATCTGATGGTGACCTGGGCATTGCACTGTCTGATGTAGCATACTGTGAATATTCGTCTCTCTCGTCCCTTTGATCGTATTTTCTGTTCTGTTCTCTTGATATTGATGGGCTTCTTTTCCTAAATAATCATGACAAGAAAGAAGAAAGAGAATTCTGTCAATATTTCTTGTAGCACAAATATACAGTTCATGCTAATTAAATGATAGAATGATCAGCTGATGGAAAAAAAATCCATTCATTGCATTTCTTTGTGAATATGCTTGCACATTTTCTGTACTAAATTAAAGAAAGCATGTCATGCTACAAATATGCTTATGGTGCACAGTTTAAATCAAAAACAGCTTTAAAGAAAAAATGCTAATACAACATTATAAAATATAGAATACAAATACTTACACTACTTTGTAGTCATAACTGCTTTACAAGTACCAAAATTTTATAATCCTTTACAATTATTTTACAGCGATATAACTTCACCATATACTTCTATTTCATAGGGTTTTATAATCACTATAGAAATTAAGGCTAGATGGATCATTCAGTTAGTTTGATCTTTTAGCAGCCATTCTTGCTTAAAAACATACATTTCAATTCCCACAAAACTACAATGCATGCCAAGGGCAGAAAACAGGACAGACAAAGATCCAATGGCAGCACTTGTCTAAATCAGATGAACTCAGAAGACTGAACTCCTGGAAACAAAACATTTTTTGTGTTGCATAAGAAGGGAAACAGCTTCAAAGTCCTGCCCATCTGACTTGACAAAAAAATCCTTCTCATCCCTACAGGGATGGCAATAATATTAGTCCAGGCATTTGAGCAAGACACACCAGCCAGATACCAGAATGGAGTTCCTGTATGACATTAAGCATTGACTCTTTGTCATAGACGATATCTAGCCATAGACAACTTCTGAGGCTTCAGAGGAAGGTGAAAACAGAATTATCAACAGATATTCTTTCCTGACACTGACAAATGATTGACTGAAGCATGTGATTTTATTACATGCAATATTTTAATAGAGGATGTATCTGGAATATATTATGAATGTTATATGTTCTGTTTGTTTGATGCAACATCGTTTGCTACTTGATTAGAAGGGATCAATTAAAAAGGGAGTAGTGATTCATAGGGAAAAAACAAACTGGAGCTTCAGATCCTGCCTTTATCAATCCTAACAGGGTAACGAGCATTTAAAATGCTACTTCCAGACATGTCCAGATTCATACTTAGTTTTTCACCCCAGATGGATCTGAAGGAGTTACCTGCAGGAAACTGGAGCAAAGAGACTGAGAGGTAGGCCTTCTCTGGAATGAGATAGATCAGCTCAAGCTTTAAGTAGTGAAAATATGTACGTGAACCTATTTTTGTGCTATCAGCCCTTTCCCCTTATATATAGTTTTATCTTTGTAACTAAGATCCCTTTGCAAATGTTTTCTACCCTCACAAATGGCCACTGATCCTAAAGGGCAGCCTTGCAGGCAGCAACCAGGAGATCCTGCCTAGTGTTGGGAAGGGCGGGGAAAAAGGAGAGCAAAGACACAGCCCTGTTGTTGCCACAGTTGTCCTAGAAGGGATAAGAGAAGGAAAGGCTTCAACTTAGTGAAGGGGAGAAGGAAAAACAGGCTCTCCTTGGTGGCCAGGAAAGTACAAAGGGCTCTGCCTAGCTAGTACGAGAGAAAATGCTCTTTTCTCAGCCAGAAGGGAAATGCGGTCTCTGCTCAGCAAGGGGAAACCACAACTGTCTGAGGAGAGTGTGCACAGGGGGGTGACTCGCAAACTGGCATCTTGTCCTAGGTACCATACAGGGTCATTAAACTGTGCTTGAAAGATTTGGACCCAGTCTTGGCTTGTAAATATCAAAGTACTTTAGCCTTACAATGGCATCTGCAAATGGGGAAACTAATTCAATCTTGCAAAAATACAACTCTTCCTGTGAAACATGACAAGTAATATAAGCATCATTTGGATGCCTATTTGCTTATGGTGAAGCTAAGATGTCCTATCTGTCTTACTAAAGTGTCATGTTAGTACCAGCACAAATCATAACCTCTGTAAGTTTAACAAAAACTCTATGGATCCTGCTACTGGGGACTCAAGTTGAATCATTCTAATGTGACATGAACAGAGTTTCATAAGTCTAAAACCAGAATGGCCAACAGGAACAGACAATTAGGACAACAGAACTACCAGAACCCAGACAATTTGCAAAGACATAGAAGTTTTCATTAAGACAACAGAGATTAGATGTGGAAACTTACTTTAAGGAAGATAAATATTTTTCATTTAAATACTTCAGCTGATGAAAAATATGCCACATCCCAAAATAATTTGTTCTAATAGCAAATTACTTACATCGCTGAAAATTTCTGCCATGCCTATCATAAAAATGTGCCTAATTTGTCCTCCCCAGTTCTGTCCCCCATATAGGCAAAATTTTTTATCTCTCTGCAAATCCAATTGGAATAAATGGCACTCAACAGATATGGCATTCATCCATGTGGATCTCATTGCAAGATTGAGACAAATATGTGTGCACATGGAGTGTACACATACTCTACTGTTAATACTCACACTGTGTATATCCAGTCTATATTATGTATGGATCAAGTTGTATTCACAGATTTTTGCATGGATTTGATCCTCCAAGACATCAAAACACTCTAGTGAGTATGGGTTTTAAGACCAACTCCATCATGAACTGTGTAACACACAAAACCATACAGAATCTAGTTTGACAAATCTCACATGTGCCTTGGAGCAGACTGAGTGTACACATTCTTCAGGATTAAATATCTGCATACATGTATCTATAGTAATATAAACAATAGAATAGTAAGAATTGTTTTAGCTACATATAGAGTATTTTATATACATATATACACAAACACACATACACGGTGTGTGTATATATGTGACTCCATGTCATAGCGTCCTCATATGGATGCAAAGAATAGTGGGCAAATCTTTTCTGGAAACATTGCTGCTACAAAGTCATGGGGGGAGATGCTGAGGGGATAAAAAAGATGGAATTTCTGTATGAGTAAAAACACTTATTGTAGACTTTTTGCTGAGGCAAATGTACTTCTATCAGGAAAACACATCATCTGAGGAACTAGCACAAGATTTACTAAAAAATCAACCCTTTTTTCTAGCATGAACTATGTTAATGAGAGGAGGATGTGCCAATTTAGCATTATATTTTTATACCTCTTAAACAAACATTTTCTAACCTTCTTTCTTACATTTACCTTTCCTCCATTTTCTTGCTAAGACATGAATATAGGAACTATGGCTGACAGTAATGTAAAGATCAGCTGTGTCCTCGATCTATTCCAACCTTTCATGAAGGAAAAAGCTTTACACAGGTGCCCTGCATGTGGCAACTACTTGGCCACATGCAAGAATGAGGACCTTCCTGAAAACGCAACCCTTTTCTTCAGAGAAAGCCGCCTGATAGATAAAAGTAACTAATTTAATTCCTGGCCTATGTTGATTGGCACTATCAAACTCCCTTTCTAATTAATTTCATCCCTGCTGAAGGGATCTAACTTCACTACCAGGATCAAATACCAGAAGCTGTAATCCTATCCATGAGAAATAAATTAACCGTACCTGTACACCTGATCGGCCAGAAACCTTGCTGGCAGGAGAGGGCTCATCCTGCCCAGCAGTCACCATACCACTTAGTAGTCAAGCCTGTCATTCTCTTTACTGGTCATCACAATACAATTAGCCCCCTTTTACCATTAGTCACTTTTTTTCATTTTAAAAATACCTGCTACAAATACAGTTGTGCAATGCATGCTATACATTTTAAGCCAGTGTTATTAAATCATGGTAAGAGGAACAGTACTCGTGAAAACTTATGGCCAGTCACTACTATTAAAAATCTGTTGTTATTTTTAGGTCACAAGCTAATTCTCACTCACCTTCATGAGCCTTTGTCTAATCCATTTCTCATCATTAAAGATACCTTAATAAAAACCTTTCCTCGTGTACCTCCAGCTAGATACACCATGGAAAATAGATACACTCCTGCCTTTCCAGGACTTTCCTGGAACATTAAAAGTTAAGAGAACTTTAAATGTGTGTCAACAGCTGTGATACGCACCCTCCAGCTGCCAGCTTAACTAAGCACTATATATCTCTTGTCAGAAGGATTACCACCTTTTCTGAAAAGGTTACCACACCACCAAAAAATGCTCCAGGCCATTGTGATTACTGCTTCTTTGAAACAATAATAAAATAAAATCTCTATTATGGTTTAAAAACTCCAGAACCTGCACAAATCTCTTCATCAGGCACATTCTATAAATATTATTTTTTCAGATGTAGAAACTGAAACTTATTTTCTATTAATTATCACAGTATTTTTTTTTTTAATTGTAATTTATCAATAAATGACATTTGGTCTTTTAACACACATCTCTTAACCTTACACTGATGGAAACCTTATTTCCAGTGCATTAGAGATATCATTAGTACTATGGAAAAGCAAATAGCTTGACTGTAACCTGACTTCCTGCTCATAAATTATTCAACTCCCCCACACTACAATAGGAAGTAAGAACTTAAAATATGGCATAGAAGAATATAAGACAGCTATTCTGCTTTGATGGCTCTGATTTCAGTAATGGAACTAAATAGCTTGAAAGTCTTCATTTGTATTCTTCCTTGAAGAGAAAACACTCTTCTGCTCTGATTTAGATTTTTAAAAAATTAACCCAAATGTACTGAGGAAAAGGAAATTTTTAAAGGTAAGTTTCCATTACATTTCAGAAGCCACAGATATTCAGAAACACTGTAATATGTAAAGTATTTATATCACGGTCAAAACTAGATCTCAGATCTTCCTGGCTACGAATCTTGTTCTCAGACCAATAGAAGACACATTTGAGGTGGAGAAAACTTTCAAGAAAATATCATTCAAAGATATGTTCAAACGTATGGGTACCTGAATTCATCTACATTTATTTGGAATTTTTTATAAATAAGAAGTTTTGGGTCAATTAAAAAATAGGAAGGGCTCGGTGGGCTTGAACTATCATCAGCTACTTGAAAACTGAATATTGGTCACTTACTTGTAAGACCTAATTATAATTTACTAGACAATACTTTGATATTTTGTTCTCTGTTTCCTATAAATTAGCAAGGAATAAAATTGACTGGAAAATTAAAACTGAAGCTATTTCTTCTGCACATATTGTCATTTTGCTTAACTGTTTTCAAAATATGATCCTTTCAGTACATGAATAAAAAATTCAGAGTAGGTAAAAATTCACATTTCCCACTGGAACTCTGTCTTGAAAGCCATGCAAGAGAGGGCTTGTTGTTAGAGACCTCATCAAATATACTGAGCACAGCTTTGTCTCTCCTTCACTATATGGCTCCTGTCAGGAAAACAGCATTTGTTGGTTCCTGAGTAATCATATAAGAATAGTTCTACTATTCTAAACTTTTATACTTGTATTCAACAGACAGTCAGGCACTTATTTTAAAACAACAGTGACAGGGAGCAGATAAAACACCATCAAGACACCTTGCAAAAAAGTTCCTAGGCTGCAAGAAGGTGAGCTGAACACTCTCCGGACCTTGCAACCAGAACTCCCATGAGTGCAACGAACCCAGAAAAATTGTCACGCAAAATTAAGATCTGGCTGCCTTTCTCAGGGAGGGTCCTACCCTCTCACTGTTAGGTGCTCTTATGAAAGCATTTCCACAACTTCTTTTGCCATACTGAAGAATCTGCAAAATGTTTACCTATTTTTGGAAGTGTTCTTAAGAGACTAGCTGGTATTGATTTAACTCCTTTTCTCATTCTCTGCTTATAACTTCTGCTTTTGCTGAGTCACGTTGTGCATGAGAAATCATTTTGCACACTCTCTAAAGCAGCTATGGCTCCAGCTTATTGAAAGAATAGCTTTTTCTGACTTCTAAGCAGTTCCAGTTTCTACCAAGATCTCTTTTTGCAGTTCTTCTATGCTGTCTAGTTTTATACTAGATTAATCTTCTGATCTGTCTGTTCCCCTCTCCTTGGTTTCTCCACCCCCCCAAAAAAAGAAAGAAGGTGAGCAACCAACATACGATTTGCAAGCTAATTCATTTAAATAGCCTACTCTGATAAAAAGAAGTATTTATCACATTTCTTGACCAATATAGTTTTAAATAGGCTGCCCTGAGGTACATCTAACAGTTAGATATCTAAGCAATTCACTAAGTAAAGTTCATCTGAGACATTATTTCATTTCTCATTTCAGCCATGCCTTACAAATTTTATTTTATAGCAACCATATTTTGAACCATTAAAATACCTTCCAGCTAAGTATCTCCAAACAATAATGAATTAAGTTTGCAATGATGATTATAAAATTTACTGAAGCATGAGAGTGATACTGCAGCTGTTGATCTCTATTAGATTTTATCTGAAAATACAAATTCACTGACTGCAGGCTGATACCAATGGAATGAAAGGAAATCTGTAGTAACAAAACATTAACATAATTAAATTCACCACTGATAACAACTTTGCTTTGAACTTGACATGATTGCACAGACATATAAACCAACACAATTACTTCAGAATCACATGGTTTCTATACAAGCAATTCAGGAAAAATTCAGCATTGCAGCTTTCAAGAGCTAATTTCAATTTGTGTGGGGAAGAGAGTTATAACATGGAAAAAATGTGGAACTGTTGAACAAAACTAGTGATTTTAAGTATCCCTTGCTAATCTACAAATATTTAGGTAATAAGTTCATTTCACGATTTTTTATTACATCAAAAACATCACAGATAGGAAAATGGGACTATTAGTAGAAATGGCTTTGTCCTCCTTTATTTCAGTAGCCTTTTTTTTCAGTAGCCTTTATTTCAGAGTTTTCAGTAGCCTTTATATCATATAATTTGATTTTAGAGAACTGCAAAGAGAGAAATTAAATAGCTATATTTTAATCTTACTGTTCATTCTGCTACATTGATGAATGCTTATCTTTTACAAATAGGTTAAACATCCTGACATTTTTCTTTATTTCTAGTTTTGAACATTTTCAAAATTAATATTTTGTGGATTATTTCCACTTAATTTATAAAGAAGAAATATCTCACCTGCTTTTTCAGTAAAATCTCTTGTTAAAAAACCTCTCATAAAAACAATGCTAAATGGATTAAATTGCTTTTGGGAACAATTGGTCAGAATGTGCATTCTAGTTATCTGTCTGAGTACTGACACCACAGAAATCATTTGCAGAAGGGTGGAATCAATTAACAGCTGCCATACAGCAGGATGCAAACGAGTTTAAAACCCAGGTTAAAAGAATAGTAGGTCACAGAAACATTAAAACATAAGGATGAATTAATACAGTACTGAACTGTTACTAAAAAGGACTTCAAGTAATATAAAACACAAGAAAATTCCAAAATCCCGCATGTACTATTTTTATGAAAAGAAATTCAACTTTTCACAAAATATTTTTGTCACAGAAAATATAATACAATTTAAAATACTAATTTAAAGAAAAGTAAAAGGCTTTGTTAAAGATACTATTCTCATATATCTGAAGCACAATAAAAAGTTTTTCAGTACTTCCGTTGAGCTTTTTTTGCCAAAAGTAAAAAATACCTTCCTAATCATCCCAAAAAAGAGCAAAAAAATGCTGAGTGTTACGCATTGTTTTCACACAACACATTCAGCATCTTTCTTCCCTGCTTTACCTTTTGATCAGCCACTGCACATCTGGGAAGTAGAAAGCCTCGGGTTCATGAGAATACATCAACTTCTGTTCTGACTAGGTCTTTCATTTAATCCTCTAGGTTCAGTGAAATCATATGAACAGTCTCTTAATTTTGAGACACAATTTTTTAGATATATTTTACAATCCTTTCCCTTCTCCCAAAATGCAATTATAAAATATAAGGCATCTAGGGGGGGAAAAAAAAAAAAGGTCTAGTATATGAAACAACAGCAATTCAAGTCAGAGAGCTGACCCAATGGGAAGCTATTGAGAGCATGAGAGGAGTGTTATAGTTTAATGCTGTTACCATGTGCTGTATATAGCTGGAGGTCAAGTAAGAATTTACCCTGTAAGGAGGATTATGGTACTTAGCTGATTAATGCCTTGCTACAGTACTATTGCCTACAAATGTACATGCTGGTCAAGGCATTTAATTTAAACTATTTTTAAAATTGTGCAGTTCCAGTATTTCATGTTTTGTGTTACTAGGTTCAGCGTCTTCTTTGTGTTCTAGATGTCAAATGAAATTATGTAACATCTATTATTTTTAGTTTGTAACAAGTCAAATTTTGCCATAATTTTCAACCGTTGTTAGGCTAAAATAGCTGTAGCATCTACTTCAGTCTGATGTGCTGAACATACTGTAGAATGAAAAATACTTTTTTTTACATACCATTTAAAAAAAATCAATGGACTAATTATTTCAGTCATCATAACTCACTTTCAAAATACGGTGAGAATGTGAAAATAATAGAAAGCAAATGTGTAGACAGTCTCATTTGCATTAAATAATTGTAAACACATTTTTCCACAATTTCAGAGGCAAGGTATCTTCTATCTATGCAAACTAGCTTACAAATAAATTGTTTAATGTAAAGCACCATACCCCAGCCAAATTTGACTATAATAAATTTAAGACATGATAAAG